TTAATTATTTTAATAATTATTAACTTATTTTTAATAATTAAATTAAAATAAAATTAATAACAAATTAATGATATAACAAAATTAGCAGTGATAATAACTATTGTCTAGTTTAGACTATTAGGATATTTTTAAGCTAAATTAAAATATTGTCACTGAACCAGAGAATTTCGTTACATATTACTGAACACATCCCATAACACTAACATAATTACAAAGCTAATTATATTAAGCTCTGTAGATCTACTGAACATTATTGCTCTTATTTCCCTCATAATTAAACTCTTCATCCCTCAACTAGAGAACTAAGACCTGGATCCGTTTTCCTGTACATTCAAGCTCTCTGGATCATCATCACTTGGTACTTTCATCTCAAAATTTTGTTTTTGAGCATTTTCACCTAAGACTGCAGCCTCTGAGCTTTTCATCAGGCGAATTCGCTTGCAAGATTCCATGAACATCCTGTTATGAAGTAATATTAATTAAAATATTAAACCGAGACTAATTTATCTCAATTTTAACTAATTAATTAAAAAGATGATCAACTTACTTCCAAGGAACATCTCCAACCATCATCCAGTCACTGTCTTTATCTTCATAAGTTGGCACATACTCCATCCCCTTCACCTTGCTTTCCTCTTTGTAATTCCCTAAAATTAATTTCAATATCACCATATGCAAAAAAGTTAAATCACTAGAAAAATAATAAAACAAAAATAATTATAATTGACTATTTTCAGTCAAATAAGTTAATTATTCTTGATCACTTATACAATTAATTAAGCATAAAGATATATAAATATGATTAAGCCTTGAAATGAATTGATTAATTGATGCTCACAATTTATGGTGAACCATGAGAACATTTTCTCCAAAGCCTCCAATAACTCCTTATAGCTGGCGTATTCCTCCAGGTTTACTTTCCGGAGATACGGTGCACCGTCTACAGCCACCTTCACGTACTTACAGCCCCCGGCTGCCACCGCCTTCTGCCTCCATGATCTAACTGGAGGCCAACCAACGACTTGTGCCCTTCAATGCCACACAAATTGTACGTACACAAATTTAATTTTAGAATTGAAATTAAGAGATAAATTTATTGTCCAATTCCAACAGGAAACTTACTTGGCTGCTGGTGGTTTTCCGGCACGGTGGCAATCGGAACGAGAGTTGAGATCAACGGTCTCGGTGAAGCCTCTTTTAGAACAGGACTTGGTTACTCTAACCGACGGCAAGCGACTCTCACAACCAGGCAATCCTAAGGTCAATTCCGTATCCTCAAAATTCAGGCTGGTGACGTCACTTCCCGTCGAGTCCGCCAGCGTATCCAAAGACATTTTCAGACAGTCAGCACTTGCATCAAAATTCTTTTTGCCTTTTGGTTTAGGCCAGCACAAATTAAGGAGATGGAGGACGTGGGGTTATATAGGGAAACATTGCAGGCACCCAAAGAGGGCGGGCAGCAGTGTACGCCATACAGTGGGGTGTTACGTAAGCCGCATAGAATTTTGAGCAGACTGTCGGTTCATTCAATCAGTTCAGTGTTGATATTTAGTCTTTGAACTCTCATTGTCATGTTTGAATTGAATGGATTCAAAATTTTTTAACGCGTTCACCGCCTACTGCTCTCATAAAAAATATAGGGTCCATTTAATAAATGTTGGTGGGTGTTAACAATGGCAGAAATATTCTTTGAGGGCATTTGGTTAGGCCTTCCCCAAAAAAGAAATTGGGGAAGGGAAGTGACTTTGTACATAGCTTCATTTGTGAAAAAAACAAAATTGGGATTTAAAAAAATATGCTGTTTGGTCTTTTTTTATATTTGTGCTAGTAGTTTAATTTGATTTAAATTAACTTATCAATTTTATATAATAAATAAATGACAATTAAAATTTTTTTTGATTTAAATGAAAATCTTCAACAAAAATTACCTATAGAAAGAAAAAAATTAATTATTATCTATTTATTATATAAAATTATTTAATCAAATTTTATATAAAAATTAAATAAGAATAATTAAATATGACTGAAAAATGAGTATAATTACTTAAGTGGTTATAAGGTTGAAGCACATTTTCAAAAAAACCAAAAAAAAAAAAAAACCTTTTGGGTAATATAATCTATTACAATCAAGCTGGTAAAAAAATAATCAATATCAAAAGTAATTAGCTATATCTATAGTTATCTAAAATTAATAATCTTTTATAAATTAATTTATAATCAGTTATATATTTTATTGGTTTTTGTGCCACCAAATTTATCCCAAACTAAGTTTAAATGATTTTGTGGCTTGGCTTCCCCAAATTCTTTTTTCATGGAAGAGCCAAACCAAAGACATTTTGAATGTCCACAAATAGATAATTATTTAAAATTATCGACGTGGATGTCTTATGATTAATTTCATTTTAGTAGGAGGAAGAAGTTCTGAGTTTAATTAGATGATATGTTGGTGAAGTGAAGTGAATTATTGGATGGAAGAAAATTCTCTTATTTTACCATCAAAAATTAAAAAATTATATATCAAAAACTTAACAATAAAACAACTAACGTCTAACATTTATGGGTTAGATTTATTGTTAAGTCTAATGTCGTATTTTAAGTTAAGTTTATAATTTAAGTTTTAAGATCAACACTTAAAAAAATAATTTTTTTGAATACATTAAGCTAGTGTGTAGAGTGCGTCCTTAAGATTACTTGAGAAAAAATTAATTTAGAGATGCATGTAAACTAGTCAGAATATCTTGGACCATCCAAACTAGAGAAAAAAAAAAAAAAAAACCTAAGTTAGTATATATCCATATACATGATAATAAAAGTGTTGAGTGATCTAGGCCATACTTGATCATACAAGGTTAACTATTGAATAAAGGAGCTTTTCTCCCCCGTCACTACAGCCTCTCTTTCCTTAAGTTGCTAAGGAAGATGAACAAAAGGCAGGAGTTACTCTCCTTCTCTTTGAAGGTTTCTCTCTTAAAGAGAGTTTGTTTATGTCTTTTAGGAGTCCCTACCTATGCTTTCTATCTCAATATTTTTTATTGAGCATTGAGTTTTGTCATGGTAAAGAAGCAGATAACAAACGTGACTAATTTTTCTATCTCAAAAGTGAAACTACTATGTCAAGCGAGTCTTCCAAGTGCTAGAGACAATCAAAGTGGTTGTTTATCTACCCTATAACCTTAGTTTGTGCCCTTATAGCAATTACTTTGTAATCTATTAGTTTTAGGAGGCTTTTTATTTTTAAGGATTTTTTTTATTTTTAAGGATTTTTATCTAACTCATGTGCTTAGGGTATAGGTTAAAATACATTAAATACATTATTTTGTAATAAATTTTTATAGAAAATATAAAAATAAGACATTATTTTTAAGACAATACCACTTAAATGATTTTAATTAGATAGTTGATAAATTTAAAGTCAACTTTTATTTTTTCTATATAAATTAATTACAACAAGATACAATTAATGCTTTTTTTAACTTGTGCCCATAAACCCTATTTTTAATTGTTAAAATTAGCTTACCAACATTTATTATCTATATGCTATGGGTATAGGGGGTTTTTTTTTTTTTTTTTTTTTTTTTTGAAAATGGGGGAAATATGGGAATGAGGAATGTTTTCAAGTTGTTGGCGGGAATTGAACTCCAATCAACTAAACCCAAGTACTAAGTCTTGGAGATAAACCATTGGGTCAAAAGACTTAGATTCATTAGAAGTATAGGTTTAAAAACCCTTTATAAATTGATATAGAGATTATGATTTGTCATGTAACCTCTAGTTTCCTTTGTATATATGGCATCTATCTTAGATTTACTTGATATATTATATTTATTTATCAATAAATCTATCATTATTTATTGAAAAGAACTATGGAATAAAGGAGAGTCTTAGCTTCTTTAAACTTTTGATGATATAATAAACAAAAAAAAAAAATGTTATATAATTTGACGCTATTTACCTTCAACTATTAAATAAGTGATCAAACCAATCCAAGTGGTTATAGACAAATATGGCTGGAGAATATACAACTTAGCATAAATTAAACAGAAGGCAAGATAGTCAAGAGCGCTGTGTAGGTGTTTGCCAAGTCAATGTAGGGAGTGAATTAATTTCCTTCAGAAACCGACAAGCATGTGACAAAATGCTGGAATATTGTCGGCAACATGTCCCTTTCACATTCATCGTATCTCCATTTCTTACTTTTTCTTTTTGAATTTTAGAGTGCAAGGGTCAAATGGCAAATCCGGCTGCCGCCCACGGCTTCCGTTTACCCAAACTGATACCACTAGTGGTACTAATTCTTAATTAAGATTACAAAGTAATTTTAGAAACAATCTCTGATTAAAGTATCTATCTACATTTAAGAGATGATATGTGTAGCTAATTAATCATATGAGAGTTTTTTTTCGTAGGGGAGAGTGGACTTTCTAAGTACATGAACGATTTGAATAAGAAGTTAAGAAAATAAGATCATGAATTTAACAGCCAACCCCTTAATTGGCTTCTGTAGTAACATTTTTATTTTTATTTTTGAAAATAAGAGGGCCTCAGCTGGAATTATAGTTATGCTAATGTGGTGGGTAAAAGAATGAGATTTAAAGGGCACCAAACAACATTAATGACAGCAATTGGAAACATTTAACAATGAGAGTTTATTATTTTGTAGTTAGATTGTGCAATACTTTTCTGTAATAACAAAAGACAACATCTGCAAGATGGTAGCAAAAAGGGACATTCAATGAATTAGTGAAAAGGTCCTCAAGGATGATGGAAAATAGTGAACGGATGGAAAATGTGGGGGAAGAAAGAAGAGAAAAGAGCCAATCCAGATGATCTCTAGAATGAGCAGCTGGAATCCTAGAATTCTCAATGGCTTTGTTGTTGAAATCTGCTAGCAGAATGGAGGAATGTTTTTTTAGGGAATAAAAAAAGGGGTTCTTCATAATTCAGATTCATTTCTCCTTTAATTTGTTTTCTCTCCCAATGGGCCTAAAGTTTTCTATTTCAATTCGAGAATTTAAGGGGGGAGCTAGAGGAGAGATCATGTGGGGTTTTTCTCTTTCGTGAAATCTAGTTTGAGGAAGTTATTCAAAATAGTATTAATTTTCTTAAGAAAAAAATCCAAAAAAGCTTAAAATTAGAGAACATAACTCATACACGGTCCCATACTCTCATATGTCCTATAGAAGATGGTAACCTTAATAAAAAAACTAATGAGAGTTTATATCCCTTTTGCCTTCATTTAATTATTTTCTAATCTCTGAATCTTTGGTAGTTTGTTTTATTAAAGGCCATCTTAGTTCGAGTGCAGCAAATTCTTTTCTTTCTCCATACAAATATATTACATATATGTACATAAGATATAAAGACAAATGAAGATTTATTATTCATTCAACCATTAGTATGTGTGAGCGCATACGGAGAACTGAGAACGATGGCGACCCTTCCAAATGCTCCCGATTCTCTCACCCTTTCCTCACCCAACACCCAAGAGGATGACCTCCTGGCTCGTAGTGTCAAGCGAATCAAGGAGGATCTTTCTTCTACAGGTCGATGGGATGTGGATATGGGCGACTATGTTAATGTTCTGAATCCGGCAATTTGCGACGTCGATGGTGTCTCAAATGCGCCGGCTGAGACTGCTCGCATCTCCTCTCAACTAATTATTTCTCCAAACCATGTTTACGGTTCGGAACCCTTGTCATATAAGGACAAATTGCTTCTCGAAGAGAAATCTGAGGGGATTTCATTTGCCACTAGTCCTAATTATCTTGATGAGGATTCTGATGTGGATGAGGATCCCACCAGTGATATTTCAATTATTTTACTATCTAAAGCTGAGAAACGACGAATCAGAGAGCCTTGGGCTAATGCTCTGATAATCAAAGCTTTTGCCCCGAAACCTGTTGGCTACAATTTTCTATATCCTCGAGTAAAAGCTCAATGGAAACCTACAGGTAAGTGGGATTTCATTGATCTGGGAAATGATTTCTTCCTTGTTCGATTGCAGGTACAAGAAGACCTCAATCGTGTGATATTTGGGGGCCCTTGGTTCGTCGGCCCTTATTATCTTACAATCCACCGATGGGAACCCAATTTTGATCCCACTATGACTACTTTCTCTACCACTGTGGTTTGGGCTCGTCTTCCTCATCTTTCTGCTGATCACTATGATCCAATCACTTTGCAAAAAATTGGAAACAAGGTTGGAACTTTGCTACGTGTGGATGCCCATACAGCACATCTTACTCGAGGGCAATATGCTAGGGTCTGTGTCCAAGTCGATCTTGACAAGAAGCTTGTGCACACAGTGAGAATTGGTAGGAAATTCCAGAAGGTGGTTTATGAAGGCATTGAAGCCCTTTGATATTCCTGTGGTAGAATTGGACATAGAC